ATTCACTTGCATGCATCAAAACTATATGTTGTGACATGTGAAATTATTCTCCGTGACAGTGCTACCTTTTTGCACTGAAGCGTCTTGAAATGAAGACCAAGAAATTGCCTGCTAATAGTTAAGAAGAAACTTAAATGTTTATCTTGTACATTAAAAAAAATCGTCATGTAAAAAAAATGCTTTGCAAAAGAAACCTGTCATCAAAGACGTATGATCCTTATCTAAAGAGAAACGAAAGAAGTAAAAGATTTTTACGAAACGTGATTATTTCAGAGAGAGTCAAAATAAATATTACATGGAATTTTTGCGACTCAAAAAATAAAGGTCGCGAACATAAGATCACGCTCAAATTTTAGTGATAGTCATTTTGGCCAATAGTAATATAACATGCGCTCTGGTTGGCTAATCAGCTAAGGCATTATTCCCCCGTAATGATCACGGGCCCATTACGGGTCTGCAAAAACAAAGCAAAAGGTAATTAAAAACTAATTTGTAAGCCATCTAATAAATTACTTATTTTCCTCGAACGTTCGGTCTATACGGGAAAATCTCAAAACTCGACCTTCTCGTTTTGACCTCGCTTAGTCAACACGGCAAGGTCTCGGTTTGAGATTTTCCCGTAAAGACCTTACTCTAGGTCAATAAATAGTCGTTAAATTCGAGAAGAGCTATGATCTGGAAGACCCCAGAGGCTGAGCATTTGCCTTCGGTTTTGCCCTCACCCCGGGGCATTGGGCCAACTGTTTGTCCCCACCTCGATAAATTGGCCATTTTCGAATAAAAATTTAATACCGGTCGTTGGTGCGGGGAGAAGTGCATTGCTTCTTCCAAAGAGTTAGACTCTTTATATGATGCCAGCATTTTGCTCGAAGACCCAACTTGAACTAAGTATGCTGTGTACTGACGTAAAATTTGCTTCTTTACGGAGGCTAGAAAGGATGCAGACTATAGTTTAATATGATCGTCCATAGTTTATTGTTTGACCAAAAAAGCATGACAATAAGCATACAATCCCCAATGTATCGTATAAATATCAAAGTTGCCAAAATTGCATATCAATTAAACATTTCCTAGATAGAAATTCTTACATCAATTAAATTGAGTTTTAAATAGATACATGCCAGCATGCGTTTTTATCAATTAAGGTTTCTTACAAATTCCCTTTAACTACAATACATTATACATTTATAACTGAAGGCTGGCTCCCAAATATAACTTACTTGAAGCGTTATTTCTTACAATGCGGCAGAAAATAAAAATGGCTTTAACCACCGTAACCAGGTTTCAAACAGGCCACCATTTGAGCACTGTAAGAAATAAATTGACTCAATGCCTGTGTCTAGCGTTGAGAAAAACTTCTTTCGTATTATTGTCAAATATATTAGTATTTACAGAGTGTATAAATCTTTTCCGAAAAATCTGAGAGCACGTCTTTTTGCTGTCTTATATATTAGAACTGAGAGACTAGATAAAAGAAAAACAGTTGAGTCTTCTTGTGGGACTACTGCGCTGTTTGTCTGGCAGTTCCACCAGTGTGATTTTTGTTCTCCTGACAGTGCCTCTTGTTATTGCTTTTCTGGAGCACAGTTTTCAAATCTGAAAACAAAACTAAACGTTAGAAGACTTATTCTAAAATTGGTGGAAGACAGGAAATGAGTTATGAACGTGTGATGCCTAAAAGAAAGAAGTTGTGATATCAGGCGCGAATGTTCGAAAGGTTACAGTCACAGATTACGGTTTGATACGGTTGAACGTGCAACAATACCTTTCATATTAAAGCTTGAGGTTGTGTTCTCGTCTTCAGATGAAGATTGCGAGGAACAGCTGTAATAGTCAGAGGTCAGCATTGGTGAATTTCCTTCGCATTTGGAACACTGAAAAGGGGCAGTTCCTGGACCTCTTGGGCTTGTGCAGTCGTTACTTGTGTCCCTCAGGTAGTCCCTCCACGCTCCACCGTGATGATTTCTTCTCGTTCGTCGCCAGACTGGATGGTCTGATACAATAGCCATGATCTGAAAGGAACCGATGAAGATATTTAGAATGAGTTTATTACTAGAAAAATCTACGCAAACGGAGTCGAACGCGTCCTGCCTCAGGTCATTTGGATCGTTAACGTATACGGATCTAAGGAAGACGCCCCTGAAGCTCACAGGACCGCTTCTTACTCTTTTGTTAAAAGGATGGACAATAAAACACCCATCTGTGATGTTTGTTCAAGTTCATACAATGTCAGATTATACAGTAGAACGTTTTCAGCTTTGTCTTACTCCAAAACAGCAGCTTACCGATCTAATTGATCTAATTTTTGCAAGATCGATGTTGTAACTAATTAACCTAAAAATTTATTTTGAGATTTCGGTGATCTCAAATATAACTCCTGAGGATTTGTTAACTGGAATTTTCAGAGTATTGTTCACTTGTTCACAAGAAACATGAACACTGTCAGGTGGCTTAGTTACATTATTAGAAACTTGATTTCACTGCAACTTGAGTAAACCTGCTGAGGAATAAAACTGCCCGAATGTTAAGACTCCCATGATGCTAAATCGTCTATTTTCTAAGTAAAAAAATATTTCCTTCATCTTGATTTTCAGAATAAGGGGAAAAAAATCAAATTAACAACTGCTATTAGTTTGCGGTTGTTTTCTCCTGATTAATGAGGGACTTTCAGGATTTTGGGGGAAAAGGGAACACGATGATTTATTTCAAGGGAACAAGGGATATTTTTAGGATGAATTTGAGGGAACAAGGTATATGTCTTCTATTAAGGGGAACTTTCATAAAAAAAAATTAGGGAACAAGGGAGAAAAAGTGAAATTTTCCCTTTATTCATATTCAGTACCTCATCACAGGTTAGTTTGCTGACAAGAGCGCGGTAGCCGATCTTTCTCCAGAATATGTCCCTGTTTTGAAGGAAACTCGGATACAGGTCACGCCAGTTCTTTCCTAAAGCCCAAGGAAATATGTCGTACTTTTCTTCTTCTTCGTCCTCTTCCATATCATTTGCCAAGTACCTGGAGATGAAAGAGTCACCGGTCAGTGTGATATGGAAGAAGAAATGAGGAGATGACTTTGTGCTCTCTGGTCTGAATTTGTCTACAGACTTCGGAAGAATTCAAGAAATTTTAAAGATCCCTCAAAGACCCACGAGATTTGACACCATTCTCAAACTTTTATGCAAACCGGAGTCACTTCTACGGTGCTGAGCTCCTTTATCATGCCCCCCCGTCCCTTCCCGCCAAAGAAAAAGCTTTTACTGATACTTACAGTGCTATGAAGAAATTCATTCGGTTAAATTCCCGTTTCGCCAGTTCGGCTCTCCTAAAGTAGGTGTAAACCATTGCCAGAAGATACTGAAAAGAAAGGATAAATTCATTCTTAGATTTAAAGTGCTCTTGGCAAAGAAAAACCATCGTTGCACCACTCACTTTGTCTGATATAACTGCGCAGCTGTCCATCCACAAGAAATCTTGAATGACATCATCATCTGCATTATTGACGGAAAAAAATTGATTAAGTGGGCTCTTGTTTTGTGTGTGTGTGTGTGTGTGTGTAAAGAGTCTTTAAAGACAATAAGTCGGAAAGAGTTTGAATTCAGTGAGTGAACTTGA